TAATTTGAATGGCAACATTGATAAATATTTTATTTCTTTTAAAAATAAAAGATTTTTGGGCTATACTTTAATCATTTTTAATGGAGCCAGTAAATTCTGGATTTTTTTTGGTTATACAAATTGATTTCATAGAGGTCCTCTTTGGCTCTTTACGCGGGTCATTTTGCCCCATTCATTGGCTATGCAGGTTATTATTTCCTTGGGGTCCCTTTTGCCCATCTACAATAATCAGAACATATATTGTTTTCATTATTGGGGTCCTTTTATGACCACACGTCACTGACCATCAACAGATAGGTTATCATTAATACTAACAATATATAGCACAGATTCTTTACCTCATTAATAAATCATCTCAAAGTAACCTCTTCAATATTTCATCAATTATCAGTATACTCTTTTTAGAATCAATTATATAGTGGGTACAAGTGTTAGAAGTTTTTAAATATGTTGACAGCTGCATTAAATCTAACAAATGCAAACTTCTTTATTTTTAACATATTATAAGGCATTGAATTAATATTTTGATCAATTATATTTTTCACTTTCTACATAAGTACATTTGGTTTTATACATTAACACTTTCAAAAAATCTATTATGGTTTCTATCAGTATTATAATGCATTGGAAATTATCAAAGGACATTGGAAAAGGAGATAATTAAATAAAATCGTATTAACTTTTTAATATTAACCGTCGCTTTCCTATGAGACTTGTTTCTCCAATTCTTACTATTCGAACTTTCTAACGTATGTAAAAGGTTCAATTCTCTCACTCTCCGAAACTCTCTTTGCTATGATAATATTTTTATACTAGATTTTCCTTTTCTATTTCAAGCTTATAATTCATCTTATGATCCTTCAGTGTTCTCACACTTTTCTCTTATCAACTACTTAGAATTTTTCACTGTTATTTGCAACCTCTCTAATACTGGACGATGTGATAGATCATCCTTTTAAGCTCTTATGCAAACATCTAAAATTCTCCCATAGTTTACTTATTGGAGTAACATTTAATTTTCTGAGGCTGATCAAATCTATTTCCATAAAATTCGCTAACAGTGCTTCTTTCATTGTGCAAACAAAGGAATAATTCTGCACTAAACGAAACTTCCATAGCATTTCAATGCATTTTACTTCTAGCAGAAACACCAAATCTATTCCTTCATTTTTTCATGGTGACAGAATACTACTGGTGAACCTGCGCTGGCAATTTGCAAAAGCTTCATATGCCAATACCCACTGTGCGATGCGCTGTACAGTGGATTTCTGTGCATAATTTTCCCTTCACAGGAGAGCGGGCGTTAATTGCTTAAGTCCCCGGGAGGGTGATGTTCTGAACTCTCCCCTGTGAGTGCAATAAATTTCTGCCTGCCCGTTAAATGTGTGATTCTACACCACAGAGAGTCTTTAGTGATGCATTCCAACATATACTGAAAGGCAACGCAGTATCCAAAGACGCTCTATGGAATCTGCTATCTTCAACACACTAACACTTCTATAACTTTGCTACTTCTAACAATTAAGCCCAACGGGGACAGAAATACTATAATCTAAAACAACTATATTTTATTTTTAATATGTCTAAGTTTTAATCAGAAAGGTTAATAATAAATTAGAGTTGGACGGGTTACTATAGGCTAAAGTTACTTTTTTAATTAAACTTATTTAATTACCAGAAATTTTGGGTTGTTACAAAACTTTCCTCCTTAAATGAATTTCGTCCCCAAAATTCCACTTTCATACATTATCAAAAATCTGAGGAAATTTCTGTCTCATATCTACCTCATTTTCCCAAGTAGAATCCTTCACTGATCTATGCTTCCACTTAATTTTTACATAAGGAATGATTCTGTTTCTTAATTTGCGCACATCCTTATCCAATATCATTTCAGGTTCTTCTAAATAGGTCAAATTCTTTTGAAGTTCAATTTCATTATGAGAAACCTTCTGACTTTCATCTGTAACACACTTTCTGAGCATTGCAATATGGAAAACATTATGAACATCAGACATGTCTGTAGGTAATGCTAGTTTATAAGCAACTGGTCCCACTTTTTCAATTATTTCAAATGGTCCAATGTATCTTGGACTAAGCTTTCCACTTTGGCCAAATCTAGTCACACCCTTCATTGGTCTCACTTTCAAAAACACAAACTCTCCCACTTCAAACTCTATCATCTTATGCTTGGGATCATAATATTTCTGTTGGCGGTCTTGAGCTGCTTTTAATCTGTCTCTGATCATTCTGACCTTTTCAGTAGCTTGATCTACTAACTGTGAGCCCAATATTTGTCTTTCTCTCACTTCAAACCAGCTTAATGGAGTTCTACATTTTCTACCATATAAAGCTTCATAGGGAGCCATATTGATACTGGATTGGTAGCTATTATTGTTAGTGAATTCTATTAATGAAATGTGATCCTCCCAGCTACCTCCAAAATCCAGAATACACAATCTTAACAAATCTTCTAACACTTGAATCACCCTTTCTGATTGACCATCTGTCTGTGGATGAAATGCAGTGCTGAATTTTAGTTTTGTGCCCAAACTTGCATGTGTATTTTTTCATAACTTAGATGTAAAACGACCATCTCTATCTGATATAATAGCCTTAGGGATTCCATGTAATCTAATTATTTCTTTCACAAATAATTTGGCCAATTTCTCCACTGAATCAGTCTGACGGATAGGTAGAAAATGGGCTGACTTAGTGAGTCTGTCAACTACCACCCATATACTATCATACCCTTGTCTTGATCTAGGAAATCCTGTAACAAAGTCCATGGCTATTTCCTCCCACTTCCATTCTGGAATTGGTAAGGACTGCAACAGTCCACTGGGTTTCTGATGTTCAGCTTTAACAACTTGACATTTTTCACATTTAGCTACATACTCTGCCACATCTCTTTTCATTCCTGGCCACCAAAACAAATTCTTCAAATCCTTATACATCTTTGTGCTTCCCGGGT